CCCAGCTGGCCTGAAACTCACTATGTAGACCAGGCTGGCCTTGAACTCACTATGTAGACCAGGCTGGCCTTGAACTCACAGAGATCTGCCTGCCTCTGCCTCCCGAGTGCTGGGATTAAAGGAGTGTGCCACCATGCCCAGCTGATAAAGGTAGTTTTAAAAATATGGTTTATTTTTTAAATTATATCTATTTATTTGTGTGTGTATGGGAGTGTGTTGTACATCTTCTACAGGGTGCATGTGGAAGTCACAGGACAACTTGCAGGAGTCAGCTTGTGGATCCTGGGGATTGAACTCAAGCTGTCAGGCTTGGCAGCAAGCAGTGAACCATCTTGCCAACCCAAAAGTAGCTTTTTTGATGAGATGGTAAAAGTAAACAAATAACATATTTGGTGTAAAATTCATAAAGTTGCTAGGGAAATTACATGAGGAAACCTGACATTCCCAAGTTGATGGTAGAGTAAGTAAAGTATAGCAGTAGCCCTTCTCATGTTCCTAAACCCATCAGCAAGGGATCCTGAGGAAGGAGGGGTCCTCAAGGCCCCAAAAGAAACAATGCCTCAAAAGCCTAAGAAACTATGATTGGAAGTTTCTCACTTGCAGAAGGAGAGGAATGAAAAGGCAATGAGGGAAAGGACACCAGCCCTAGTTCCCTACTTTGCACCCATATCAGTGATGTCTCTCAAGTGACTAGAGCAGATGAACATTCACACCAGAATTCTCTGTAACAGCTAAAAAGTAGCAAGCCAAATATTAACTAAAGAACAGATAAAATACAGAATATCAGCCTGTTGTGGTGGCACAAGCCTTTAATTCCAGCACTTGAGCGGCAGAGGCAGGCAGATTCTGTGAGTTCAAGGTCACTGTGGTCTATATAGTGAGTTCCAGGCTAGTCAGGGCCACATAGTGAGATTCTACCTAAAAAGAAAACCGAAACAAAATGTGGCATAGCCACACAATGGAGTATTATTTCACAGTAAAATAGAGATACTGACATATGCTACAACATGGAGTTTTTAAAACTATGCTAAGTGGAAGAACCTGTCATAAAAAACTAAATATTATAGGATTTCATTTATTATAAAATACCAAAATGGGAAAATGTACAGAGACAAAGTTAAATTAGTGTCAATGGTGTCAAAACCTTAATCTAGATATTGCTCCCAGAAGACAACAGAAAACCCCTGTCTACCCCAATGAGCCTAGCATGGTTATAAACTCCCAGGCAACAAGATCTCGCAAAAGGCACTTACCCAGCTGGGTAGGCAACTAAACCTGATCGTGGATCACAAGCAAGTCCTCTGCCTCCAGATACTGTTATTCCCAGCACCTTCTCCAAGGTCACCTATTAGAGCAAAACAGAGAAGTAACATGTTATAGACAAGGTAGGTTTGAGAGGTGGTATTGAAGGCACCTTCAACCATCTTTTGCAACACTATTTTCCTGACCTCTTTATCTTCAGGAAATTGAGACTATGGCTTCTATAGGCTCTGTTCTAGCCCAAAGCCTCTTGATCATATGAGAAAATGTCAGCAGTGTATACCACTTGCATTTAACAGGCCCATCTGTTGTTACCATGAGAAAGAAAATCAAAGGGTTAAAATACTAATGGCTGAAGAAGAATAAGCATTTCTCCAATCCAGGAAGGCACCATGTCCAAGCTAGAGATTGGGCTCTTGCAGTTATGAGATTCAAGAGGTCACTGATCTTCATGTCTTGGCAAGCATGGAGGATAAGTCATTGTGATCTATCTACCAAGAGCCATAAGAATGTTAGGTATCAATTAGGTAAATCATAATATCCTTGATCTTTGCAGTCCATCATGTTCTTCCCCTCTATCAGAGGACTCCACCACCCAAATGTGTGCCAGTTCATACAGACTAAAAGACTAAGAGGCAGAAACATAGCTTAATGCTGTGTTTTGCAAATCACAGATGCTCAGGGTACTCTAATTATTGTTATTAAGTCACAACTCCCACAGAGATGAAAGGAAAGCCTGTGTAAAATGGTGGGAGATTCCAAGAAGACATGAGACGAGACATTCACTACCTTCATCAAAAGTATTGTTGTACTGCACTGTCTGTAGGCAACAGCCCCCACTGGACTATTTCAAATTAGTTCACTGGTCTTTCTGTAGATGGTGCCAAGTGAGATCCATATTGCCTTACCTCTTATTTTTATTTTTTATTTTTTCTCTTTTTGAGACAGGGTCTCTCTGTAACCCCAGGTGGCCTGGAATTCACTATGTAGACCAGGCTGGGCTTGAACTCACAAAGATCCGTTTGTCTTTACCTCGAGAGTGCTGGGATTATTCTGTGAAAACTCTGGCCTGGAGAGTCATGAAAGCCGAGGAGAGCACTGTCAACCAGAAACACGGGACATTCACATTTGTGCGAGGTGGAATCTCCTACTACAGGTCAGTTCTAGAATGTGGGAGCCCAGTCAATTGCAACAGTTTTGGGATATATCTTCTCTTATTGTCCCAAAGGGAGAATTAAAGTGCTCTTATGGGTCCTGTTTATACCCTTACCTCCGGAGAACTGTCTCCCACAAATTGTTCACTTACCTCTACACACTCCCAGTGGCATGTATGCACACACACATGCAATAATATAATAAAAACATTTAAACTCTTATCTCAAAGGCTATTTTAGTTAGAATTAGGTGGGAAAAAAATGCCCTGTGGTGGCTAAAGACTAAAATAAGTCTCCCAAGATAGTACAGTTAAAAATCTATTCCCAGGTACAAAAGGCTGGGTCCAATTTTCAGGACTGGAAAAAAAAAAAAAAAAAGGAGAAAGACCGTGAGAGTGAGGGAGAAAGAGACAGAAATAATGAAAGGCATGCAGGGATGTGATGATATATATATAGTTGTAATCCCAGCACTTGGGAGGCTGAGACGGGAGGATTGTGAGTTTGAGGCCTGCCTGAGCTACAGAGTGAGATCTAGGCCAGTCTGGGCTACATGAACTATCTCAAAAAACAAAACAAAACAAACAAACAAAAAAAAACCATAATTCCTCCCCCAAACAAACAAACAAAAAACCAAGCAAACAATTTCTCAGAGAGGTCTGCAAAATCGTCTATGCTTCTTGAGGATGTAGAATAAGAATTCCAACATGTGTTTTACTGATAGAAATGGTCACAGTGTACCAACCTAAGAACAAAACTTGCCAGTTATCCTTGGGTTGAGCTGAGGCACTAAACCAAATGTGAGATAAGCTAATGTCAGCCTACCTATGCTACAGGGGCTGCAGGGAGATCCTGTCTCAAAAAAGGCCAAAAAAAGGAGAGAGAGAGTACTCCTACTGTACTTATTCTTATGACAGAGAAGAAAGAGAGAAGCCTGAAGTCAGTATGTCCCCCATGGATGGCAGAAGTTACCAAACCAAATACAGTGAGCTGCACATCTCCAATTCTCTTCAAACTAATCTGATTTGAAGTAAATCCTCTGGACTCATATGTGTATAAACCCTTATCTCCTTATGCTTCAGTGCTGGTCTCCAAGAATCATACCAAGCCTGATTCTCAGCTGCCCTTCCCTCTGTTAGGAATGTGGGTAGGTGTTCTGTGGGTAGAGAATCTAGTTATAGAGAATTAATCTTGAAAATAGTTTGCAATTTTCAACAGCAATTTAAAGGAGGAAGACTTTGGTTTACTCATACCCTAAAGACCAGCGTTCATCAAACATCTTTTTTTTTTTTTACTATGATTCATAGTAAGAAACACACTTTATATAATAACCCGGTGTATACATATGTATGTATGTATGTAAGGTGCTCAAAACTGATAAAGCTGGGTGTGGCAACACACAACTTTAATCCCAGCACTAGGGAGGCAAAGGCAGGTAGATTACTGTCAGATCAAGGCTAGCCTGGTCTACAAAGCAAGCTCCAGGCCAGCTGTGGCTACAGGGAGACCCTGTTTCAAAAAAAATAAAAAATAAAAAAGTAAATACATAAAAGATTCTGATCATGCCCACTTTATCAACTTCATGACCTGTAAGAGGGCTGGAAGATTAAGTCTGAAAAACCTGCTGCAGATCATTTCTTCCCACCAGACCTAGGTAATAGGCTCTACCCACTGGTACCATTATGTTCTCTAGTCACTTTCCTCCTAGGACTCTGAACAGAGGAACATATACTTCCTGACCAGGAAAATCCCACATGCAGGAGTTTGTTGGAACTCAAAATTTGGCTCATTTTCAAAGGATTTATGGCTTTGGGCTTTTTCTGGCTTTCTAAAGCAGCTATCCAAGGGGGAAAAAACGCAGTTTCCTTTGGCTCTGTGGAGGGGGAGGAGCAGAGGAAAACATTCAGGGGCATCAGCTGGTTTTTATTTTATGTTCATAACTCAAACCAGCTTCCGGTTTGCAGGGAGGTTTTGGGCTGAGCTCTGCTTTCAAAGGTTCTGAGAGTTCCAAGCTCCTGTGAAGCCTCCAACATCAAGGTTTACTCTGCAAGACTCCAACACAATGGTCTTTACAAAACAACTCTCCCTCACTGACAACGTTCTTCCTCTCCTCTCTTTCTGAAAAAGTAGTTAGGCTCCCCCAGCTCTAGAAAATCGAGACAAACCTAAACACCAAGGCTAAATGCACCCAAGTTCTGTTGGTAGTGTGCAGGAGAGAGCTTACCAGCTCATCAACACTAATATACACAGCTTTTCCCACATTCCAGTGACTCCGACACTGGGAGCCTTGAATTCTTGATGGAAGGGGTACTTAGACCCGGACAATCGGTAAGGGTAACTACTAGTGCACCAGGGAGTTCTAGTTACTATCACCTCTCACTTGGACTATGACTATAACTCCCAACTGTTCTTCCAGCTTCAGGCATTGTGCACTAGTCTTTTCTCAAAATGGCTGGTCACACTGATTCTTTTAAAATATAAATGAAATTATGTCATTACTCAATGCCCCCAATGATTCCCACCTCCCTTAAAGTTCAAATCCAAATACCTGACCTACACTTACCAGGGCCTGAATCATCCAGCTTCTAGCTATCGCTCTCAGGTCCCTACCTTTTTCCTCACTCACTCTACCCCAGCTACCCTAGCAACCTCCAGTATCTTAAGCAGATTCTAACACAGCCCTTTGCATATGCTATTCTTTGGACTAAACAATTCTTCCCTCAGCTATTCACACAGCTAATTCACACAGGCCTTTGCTCAATAGTTGTCTCCTCAGAAAGGGCTTTGCAAACTAATTTTACTGCTGTCACTCTGTATTTTACTTATTCAGCTTGATTTTTCTTTATAGAACATAGAGACAGGTAATGACACTGGTTTTATCTGTGTCTGGGTGCTTACTGTCTGTTGTTCCCATCAGAACAACGGCTCCTCGAAGACAGGACCCAGATTTCTATCCCTGATTCATGTATCCCCAGCACTTTAAACAGCACCTCACACTTGAAGAGGGACTTGATACATACTTGATGAATATGTGATTGTCTGGCGGAGGCTTCAGGGACAGTGAAAGATCAGAAATGAATAAGACCAGGAAAATTCAGGTCAAAATTGCTCTCTATATAGTATCTAAAATTGGTTATGACTGAATGGCCATTTCCAAAGGAGCTTAGTGGTACGAGTAATATTTTATTTTTTAAAAAGATTTAGTGTGCGTGTGTGTATATGCCAAGTGTATGTGGGTGCCCACCAGAGGTGAGCATTAGATCCCTTGGTGCTGGAGTTAGGGGTGATTGTGAACCCCTTGATGTGGGTATTGGGATCCAAATTCAAGTCTTCTGGAAGAACAGTAAGTGCTCTTAACCACTGAGCCATCTCTCCAGTCCTAATACTTTTGTTTCTTAAGATGATGGCGGGTGCATAATTGTTCACTTTATTAATTCATATATACCTATTACAAATTTTAAATATTGCATAGTAAATGTTAAGAGGAAAAAAGGATATGATCGAGGATATGGTGTGGGACTCAGGACCTATGAGCAACATCCTTCTACAATTCACATCTATGTGTTCTCTATTAAGTATTTTATTGACATTTGCTTGATCCAGCAGTGTGGAGGAAGATCTGAAGAATATTTTGGTTTGGTTTGGTTTGGTGGGTTTCTTTAAATGATTTGTTTTTTTTTTGGACAAGTGTTTGATTGCTGGTATGTTTATTGGTGTGTAGTGCTCTCGAAGGCTAAAAGAAGATGACAGAGTCACCATGTGGGTGCTGGAAGTCGAACCCGAATACTCTGGAAGAACAGCAAGTGCTCTTATTCCTGAGCCATGTCTCCAGCCCCGAATGTGTTTTTTTGTTCAATTTATGTTTTTCACTTAAGAGCTTACAAGGCTGTTCATCTCTCTAATGCTCTGCCATGTTACCTGTAAAACGCACTCT